GTAAGATAACAGTCCTGGGACATGATTGCTGTACAAATCCTGAATGCCTTAAACCCTAGAGAAGTGTGAGTGTCGAATCCCTGAACCCGTATTTCCAGATTTCTGAAATTTGGGAGGCCGGAAACCGTGGACGTGAAGAGTCCTAGACCAAGCCCTACAGGGCCTTAAAAAACCCATAGGATTCCGGACCCTACCCAATCCCAAATCCCTACATTTTGGTCCGAAACCTATAGCCGATAGCCCTAGAAATGGCTACGGCTAAAGATTTTAAGATTTTGACCTTCCCCTTTGGAGAAGATGTCCGCTGGTGGAAGTCGGACCCAGCTGCTCCGGGCCGTGGCCAGCAGCCTCAGCCACCTGGCAACCTTGTCGCAGCCGAACCCGGCCCAATGGTGGCTTGGGGGCTGTGGCCGGACCTGGCCCTAAGCGCTCTTCAGGGCTCTTCAGGACTCTTCAGGGCTCTGAGGCAGCCTGCCAAGGTCTTTGGGCCCCCGGGTGACCAGAGAAGATCAACAGTCTGGTTGCAGACCGAGGGTCCTGACGCAGACGGAGCCGAGCAGGACAAGGCATACCTTCTTGGTGCGCAAAAAGGACTGCTGATCGTTCGACAAAGCTGCAAGGCAAGCCCCCGAAAATATAGAGGGGCCCTGAAAGTCAGGGTGGAGACCCGTGGGCCTCTTGATCGCCTATGTGCACCCTACATAAGCCCTAAACCCCGAAAAATCAAGCACGAAAGCCCCAACAACTGGCTCATCCTGGTAGGGAACTACCCAAACCCTAAACCCGAAACCCAACCAGACCGTCACCCAGTTCGTCGAGAAGTACCCGGAAAAGGCTTCATACTTCGAGATCAGGGGCGTGGTGCCGCCGCGCGCGAAGGTCTCCTTCGGCTCAGTCGAGACCCGCGGCATTCCGCTGGTTGGCCTCGGCCACCGCGTGCCGCCGAGAGTCTCGCGGCGGGTGCAGAACGCCTCCCGGGGGTGCGGCACAAGCTGAGCAAGCTGCACTTCGAGGAGGAAATTCCCGAAGATTCAGCGTGCCTTTTGTTTCAGGAGATGCAGGGCCTGCTCCACTCGGCTTCGACGACCTTCGGCCCCCTTTTTGAGAGTTCGATGCGACAGGGAGATGGGACTTTTGTCCTGAAGCCATCTCCTACCCTGCGCAAAGCTTTGAATGTTGCCGAAGCTGCCTGCAACTCGGTAGACGCCTCGCGGCCGAGGGAAATTCTGAGTACAGGTGGTATGGACATGCAAGTGCCAAATCTGGGCAAGCTTTGCATGGGAAGAGACATCCTGCTTTGAGTACAGGTGGCATGGACATGCAGGTGCCGCACCTGGGCAGGCTCTGCATCGGAAGAGACATCCTGCTTGAGGACTCTGGGCTGAGTCGTAAGAGCTGAAAGACCGAACAATCAACAGTCGGCCAATGGTGAGTGAGCTGCATTATGAGTTCGGAATTCGTTGGCGTAGGCCGGTGACAGTGCACTCTTAATTAGTACTGTCATGTGGTTGAATTGAGTATGCTTGCATGATGTATGAATTGATAGGAAGGGTGAGACACCTAATTTGCTGAGTGAGCAGAAGTCTGAAGCTGCATGGCTTGGCTGCACCTTTGAAGTTGTCAACTTGGCCAGGAGGTTTTTTTTGTTTGTTATTAGGGCGGTTTATGCTTGTTCCTTGTTGGTTTGGGTGCCCTTTGCAATCGCAACAACTGCAACTGTGCCATGTACAAACTCAGCCGTCTTGTGAGTATGGGTCCACCTGGGTCTATCGGTTTTGTTCGGGATAGTGTGGATGCTTTCGGAAGACTGCGGCCTGAGCGAGTTCGGCCTACTCGGTCCTTGAACGAAGAGGTTGCTGCACCCCGGGACTTGCGCACGTAACGACTCTCTCGAAGCTTTGTTCCCTGCAGTGCGATTTGTCAGCGAAGCGGGTGGGAAAAAAAACCCAAAAAGAAAAGCAAACCTAAACCCTAAACCCTACTCTGATTATTCAGGCCCCGAATTCAGGGCTTCGCTTCTAGCATCTCCACTTCGAAGTACGCCATCATCTACTCCAGAACCATCTTCACACCATCAGCGCCCCCCCCCCCCCTCAAACGGAGTTTAAGGAGTGATCGGGCTTCGGGGAAGAAAGTGTCGGTCTTAGGTGCTGACGTTCTGAGCCAATGACGTCCCCATGCCGATGAAATTTGATAAGACGTGTTCTTGTTGACCTTGCTTTGTGGGTTTATTAGGTTTAGGGTTTAGGGGCTGGCAGACTCCGCCAAACTCAAACCTAAATCCCTGGGCGTGCTGCTTCCCAGCTGATTGGCAGAGTGTGGGTTCAAAAAAAGGGGCTGACAGACCTCTGAGTCTGCGAGAGAGAGAGAGAGAGAGAGATAGAGAGGGTTTAGGGGTTGGGGGTTTAGGGTTTAGGGTTCCGGAAGGTTGTATATGGTTGTATAGGGTGCTCTGTACGGAACCTCTTCGTCGAAGCCTGTCCCTAGACCCCCCCCATAAACCACTGAGCCCTAGGACCTAACACATATAATCCTCGAGCCCTAAGCCCCAAAGCCTGGACAGGCGATGCTTTGGAAGTTGTCCTTCGGCCTTCTAGCTTCCATGGCCGTCGCCCAGGCGCCGAGAGCCCCCATGGATTATGACGCCGGGGCCTTCTAGTACCCGAATATAATATAATATAATATAATATAATATAATATAATATAACATAGCAGAGTATAATATAACATAGCATAGCATAGCATAGCATAGCATAGCATAGCATAACATTACATTACATTACATTACATTACATTACATTACATTACATTACATTACATTACATTACATTACATTACATTACATCACATTAACATAACACAACATAACATAACATAACAGAACATAACATAACATAACATACCATAACATAACATAACAGAACAGAACATAACAGAACAGAACAGAACAGAACAGAACATAACATAGTATAACATAATATAACATAATATAATATAATATAATATAATGTAATGTAATGTACTGTAATGTAATATAATATAATATAATATAATATAACATAACATAGTATAACATAATATAATATAGTATAATATCATATAGTATAATATATTATAATACAATATAATATATTTTAGTATAGTATAATATAATATAACATAATGTAATATAATATAATATGATATAGTATAATATAGTATAATATAATATAATATAATATAATATAATATAATATAATATAATATAATATAATATAATGTAATATAATGTAATGTAA